TTATGGTCCATGTGTAAGTAGTGAATGGCCAGTCCCCAAAAACTGTCCCACAGTACAATTCGACATAAGACCAACCCAGTCTAACGCGCCGCCTTCAAAGTTTTTTAACACTACAATACCATCGACTATTTTAGATAAAAATCACTCAGCCTACATTCTACACATAAATAGACAAAAAAATTGGAGGAAGATTTGTTTTAGATTGGGTTAACACGCAAAAATGGTGACAGCAAAACCTATAGCCATTGTACTATCTTAGTGGTATTCAGGCGAGACAGAGAGCTTCATCAGTCCTAGTTAAGAACGCAAGAGTTTCGTAGAAAGCTCCCAGTAGTAAAGGTAATTAAGAAAAAAAAGCTTCAATATTATTTCATGGCTCCTGCCGTCAAGGGCCACCGTCCCTGCTCCTTCACATATCATACCGACAGTCATCCCAAGTTTACTGAATCTAAAAAAGCGATTTCCGAAGATATCCTTAAGGCATCAACACTCTTTTATCATTGTATGTGAATACGTTACTAAGAAAATCTATAAACAAAACAAGATTTGTTACTCTGGTCGTTCGTTGATAGTTCCCATCTTGCAGAGTACTCTGAAAAGTCGGCCGTTTTCCATTTCCTACAAAAAAAAGAGAATAAAGAGATGACGTATTAATCTTCAACTGCCAAGTGCCACTTGGGATATTCTACCATATAAGGAGAGAAAATTACAACTAGCTGTTGACCTTAATAGGCCTTTTTGAGACTGCGCGGCACCATGGGACTGTTTTGGGGAAGTCATCGCTCCTTTTATTGGCTGTGTAATGAAGTTACACAAGAAACTGTGCGCATATATCCCATGCGGGACCTTTGCACAGTTTTAGATTTAGATTAAGCTTACAAGAATTAAAGACGTTCACTTTACCTTGGCTAATTCTCCTTCTAAAATGTCGCACTTTATTTGTGCTGCATCCAGCTGCGTGTAAAACCTAGCGCCAATCATTGGCATGACATCATTCACACTCTTCATGTGCGCTGGAAGGGGACTGCTGAGGAGATATCTAACGAGATCACAGAAAAGTGACTTACAAAAAACCCGGCAAACCGGTCAATTCGTACCCAGGGTTATTTCATCTCTCAAATCTTATTTAACAAAAGTGCAAAAAAAACCCCAAAAAACCTGAGAAATAGAAAACAATAGTAGGTGTATTCTACAGTTTAGACCGAAAATACTTCTACCATCATCACCCCATAGATGTACCCATCTTAGTACAATTTACAAGTTTAGTTCCTCTTCACAAGTGAGTACCCCCACTTCTTTCTCTCTGTGCCCAAGACTGGGCAACAGAGGTAAAACTAAATTAAGTATTTTGACCAATCATAATATGCGTAGAAATTCAAATTAACCAATCAGATTTAGAAGTTAAAAAAAACCCACCCCACGGGAAAACGAACCCGCACAAGTCACTTTTTTCTGATTGGTTGAGAAGGTGGCGCGAAATTTTTCAGCCAATCACAGAGCGTGCCAATGCAAAACCAAAGTAATTACAAACTACTTCCTGTAAGGTTAAGGAATAGACTGTACATACCGAAACAAGTAACTTTTATGTAGGTATTATGAAAAGAAAACGACAACTGAAGTAAAGGGTAAACTTAATCACGTGGTACAAAATCGACGTTTGCCGTAAACGTAATACTAAGCCTGTCAAATATTTATATCGGGTTTTACGTCAAAGACGCAGAAAGGATTTCGTTAAAGGCACCCTCAAAGCAGGTCTTCAGATCGCGGTAAGATACCACTAACACCGACTGTTCATCGCGAGAGACGAGGCAAACTTTCTCTGATGTACCTGCCTCCAGCTGAAAAAAAAAACAAAAAAACAAAAAACAGATTACGTATCGATCGACTGCCAGCAGGACCTTCAGTGAGCAAACTCTCCAGGGCACTCTGTACCCCCGGGAGAGCTGGCTCACAGGCTATTTGCAATAGGCAGGAGTTTCTAAAAGTCTATCGCTGAATTACTTGAAAAAAGATTCTAAGGAAAATGCTGTTGCATGGAAGCGTGTGAAGAAGCTGTTGGGGACGGGGAGGGGGGTAAAGGAGTGACAATGCTCTTTTCCCACCTAAGCCACCCCGTCTCCTACGTTTTTTTTACACAACAACAGAGATTCAAATAATCTTTACCCGCCCCACCCTCCCGCTCCTGTATTTTTTGCTCGACCGCGCAAACGACTACATGCAGGCTATGGACTTAACAAAAAGCAAAGACGGAAAAATTTTAATTTTGGTGATTAAAAAACGATCCGATTTACTAAATACTGCGTATTTTCTGCAAACTGACCTTATTCAGACACGCAACTATGTGAGCCAAGTCTAGCCATGGTGCTCCGTTCTCCGTCACTTGATGGAACAGATAGTCCCTAAAAAGCTTCAATAGATACCTGTCACCAGTCTCCGACCAGCTTGGATCCATGCTGAACCTGCGAAGGAGTGGGGACGAGTTAAGAAATGCGCGAAAAAACTCTCAATATTTAACAATTATTCCTGAGCCCGCATGGGCTCTGAGTCAAAAGCCCATGAGGCTTAAGGCTGAATGGGCTATTGACTCAGAGGCCACGGGGTAGGAAACAAGGTGCATTATGGTCCATGTGTAAGTAGTGAATGGCCAGTCCCCAAAAACTGTCCCACAGTACAATTCGACATAAGACCAACCCAGTCTAACGCGCCGCCTTCAAAGTTTTTTAACACTACAATACCATCGACTATTTAGATAAAAATCACTCAGCCTACATTCTACACATAAATAGACAAAAAAATTGGAGGAAGATTTGTCTTAGATTGGGTTAACACGCAAAAAAGGTTTCAGCAAAACCTATAGCCATTGTACTATCTTAGTGGTATTCAGGCGAGACAGACAGCTTCATCTAGTTCAGAACGCAAGAGAGTTTCGTAGAAAGCTCCCAGTAGTAAAGGTAATTAAGAAAAAAAAGCTTCAATATTATTTCATGGCTCCCGCCGTCAAGGGCCACCGTCCCAGCTCCTTCACATATCATACCGACAGTCATCCCAAGTTTACTGAATCTAAAAAAGCGATTTCCGAAGATATCCTTAAGGCATCAGCACTCTTTTATCATTGTATGTGAATACGTTACTAAAGAAAATCTATAAACAAAACAAGATTAGTTACTCTGGCCGTTCGTTGATAGTTCCCATCTTGCAGAGTACTCTGAAAAGTCGGCCGTTTTCCATTTCCTACAAAACAAAAGAGAATAAAGAGATGACGTATTAATCTTCAACTGCCATGTGCCACTTGGGATATTCTACCATATAAGGAGAGAAAATTACAACTAGCTGTTGACCTTAATAGGCCTTTTTGAGACTGCGCGGCACCATGGGACTGTTTTGGGGAAGTCATCGCTCCTTTTATTGGCTGTGTAATGAAGTTACACAAGAAACTGTGCGCATATATCCCATGCGGGACCTTTGCACAGTTTTAGATTTAGATTAAGCTTACAAGAATTAAAGACGTTCACTTTACCTTGGCTAATTCTCCTTCTAAAATGTCGCACTTTATTTGTGCTGCATCCAGCTGCGTGTAAAACCTAGCGCCAATCATTGGCATGACATCATTCACACTCTTCATGTGCGCTGGAAGGGGACTGCTGAGGAGATATCTAACGAGATCACAGAAAAGTGACTTACAAAAAACCCGGCAAACCGGTCAATTCGTACCCAGGGTTATTTCATCTCTCAAATCTTATTTAACAAAAGTGCAAAAAAAACCCCAAAAAACCTGAGAAATAGAAAACAATAGTAGGTGTATTCTACAGTTTAGACCGAAAATACTTCTACCATCATCACCCCATAGATGTACCCATCTTAGTACAATTTACAAGTTTAGTTCCTCTTCACAAGTGAGTACCCCCACTTCTTTCTCTCTGTGCCCAAGACTGGGCAACAGAGGTAAAACCAAATTAAGTATTTTGACCAATCATAATATGCGTAGAAATTCAAATTAACCAATCAGATTTAGAAGTTAAAAAAAACCCACCCCACGGGAAAACGAACCCGCACAAGTCACTTTTTTCTGATTGGTTGAGAAGGTGGCGCGAAATTTTTCAGCCAATCACAGAGCGTGCCAATGCAAAACCAAAGTAATTACAAACTACTTCCTGTAAGGTTAAGGAATAGACTGTACATACATGATAAGATTTTTCAGATCAGCTGAGTAATTCATCGCCATGTACTCTAATGATTGCTGAATGTGCTCCCGCTGAACGGCCTGGAGGGAGTAGCAGGCCAAGGCTAAGATCAGCTTACCAAGGGATGTCAAATCCTCTTGCTGAAACCGAAAAAAGTGGTCTTTTGATGGGCGGTTTTAAGAAAGGTTGGAAATAACAACAAAATTAAAATAGAGTCAAGTTTTTACTTGAAGAAGAAATGAAATTTAAGTCATTTACCTGAAAATGAGGAATCATAGCGTTTGGACTGTTACTAGCATCGAAACTAAGAACATCGAATATCCCACAGCCGTTTATTCTGAGTCTGAAAATATAAAGGATAAAACAGTTTGAATTGCTCTTTTCCCCATCTTTTTCTTTGTTGCTTTGAGATGTATTCTCTAATAAGCATTTTTTTTTCGTATTATTGCACTTTTGTCTATAGAGCTTAACCAGTCCCTGGCTTATTCCATGGTTCATTCGCACGCAATACGTCCAAACGAAAACGTTTTCGCTGTTGATTTAAAGGAAAATCTGTTCAACATAATGACGTTGACACTATTCGAATTACTTCCGACCTTGAATTTACGCACTTGAAATGAACACTGTGTTCTTGTTAAGGGTACGGTGTTTATTTGAGGGTCAGTAGTTTGTAAGTAACACGTTAACCTTTTTTGTAGACATTCAAGGGTGAATAAAGGCGAAAAACCGAAGGCCAAATCTCACAGGTCTTTCACTGTTCTGATTCTTGTGGGTCGCAAAAGACCCTACACTGCTGTTTGTAAAGAGGCGGGCACGTAGACCGTGATACATATAGTGTGGACAGCGTTTCATGAGCTGGGTGGATAATGAAGGGGTTGATATCAATTAGGGAGCAAGTCCAGTTTCATCACCGTGTTTAGGAAGGATGAAGAAAGGGGCAAATCGCGCATACCCTACGCGATCTCACCCGCGCGATGTTTCCCTCTCACTCCGCGCCTCCCTTCGAGTGTTTGCCACGCGGCGACACGCGGGCTAGAAGTACTGTACTGTAGAGCGGTTTGCCGTGACTCACATCCGGGACTTATTACGCAGATTAAGCAACTGCAACGACGATCGCAACGACAACTTCAAAAAACCAATAGGTTTAATGATCAAAACAACAGCTTTGCACGTGCATCACGCTCTTTAGTACATTTCTTTGACGTCCACTCCACGACCCGGTGGGGGGGGGGGGGTACTCCCACATATAGGCTATATAGGTACGTGCCGCGGAATAGGGTACGGTTTTTGAGGTTCTCGGTCCTTAAATAGGGTATCTTTTTTGACGCTTTTGTTACTGTGTCCCTGGTGTGGTCCTTAGATAGGGTAGCTTAATTGTAGTATCTAATACTGGAGTGTGAAAACGCCCGCCTAAACGAACATTTTTTTTAAAATTAGGCTTATTCTAGTATTTTATGCTTGATGCTATACATCCAATGTTACAGAGAAGAAATAAAGTTTTCCTTTTCATGCTATGAATAATTTTGTTTTTTCCTTGAATAGGGTGTCATTTTTCGGCTTTCGGCCTTAAAAAGGGTATCAGTTTTCGCTTTCTTAGTCCTTAAATAGGGTTAGGGTCCACGAACCTTCGCGACACACCCCTATCCAAAATTCGCGGGAGTACCCCCCCCCCGGGCTCCACGACTACGACGTGAAACCTCCCAATTTGACATTTTGTGCACGACGTGGACATACGACGACGAATCTCCTTCCTCTTTTTGAACCTGAATTAAATCCTTAAGAATTCGACTGCATGAAAAGTCGCCAGCATTTGACATGTTGAGCGGGTCCAAATAGACGCCATTAAGTTTGAAAGAACGCAAAATTCATTTTTTGGCGACGTTTTAGCTGCCGTCGTCGTCGTCGTTGCTTAAAGGAGCTGTGTCACGAAATTCAGCCAAATTAGGTCATTACAAAATGCCCGTTAGATCAAGAGAAACATAAAAATAACCACTTAAAACATTAAAGGAAGGTTTAAATAACACAACAGATACAACAGATTCAACGGATGGGCAAAACTGAAGAAGATTGAAACGGATTGAAATTAGGGTTTTTGAAAACTGTTCAGTCCAACAGTTTTTCAAAGTTGATCTCTGCTGTTTGCAATTTCAAATATAATGATCAAGAGACATATCTATTTGTCTCGAATCTTTGATTTTGTCATTCACATGTAATTTCTTTGCTTACATTAAGTTCCATAGCGATTACGGGCGAGCAATTGGCAAAATTAAACAAAATGAACTGGACTGCCGTGACAAAGACCCTTTAAGGTCCCTATTAAAAAGGANAAATAACACAACAGATACAACAGATTCAACGGATGGGCAAAACTGAAGAAGATTGAAACGGATTGAAATTAGGGTTTTTGAAAACTGTTCAGTCCAACAGTTTTTCAAAGTTGATCTCTGCTGTTTGCAATTTCAAATATAATGATCAAGAGACATATCTATTTGTCTCGAATCTTTGATTTTGTCATTCACATGTAATTTCTTTGCTTACATTAAGTTCCATAGCGATTACGGGCGAGCAATTGGCAAAATTAAACAAAATGAACTGGACTGCCGTGACAAAGACCCTTTAAGGTCCCTATTAAAAAGGAGAGAGCGCGCATAAATGTTGTTACTTAGTGAAAAGGCGGCCATGATTGAAGTGTGTTAATATTACAGACCCATGTGGCGGTTTTCTATACTACAAATACTTCGCTTTTGAACACCATTAGTCGAAAAATACGGCAACTTACCTTGAATTTCCAATTAATAAGATCTTGGATGGATCAATGACCCTACAGGCTAATCCAGCTGCGTGAACTGTCCTTAAAGCAGAGGACAGCTGGATGATATAACTCCAAATAAGTCGCTCAGGCATCGGACTACGGTGACCCGGTCTATGTCTGCTATGTACCCCCAGGGGGCGGGAAGTCGAGGGGAATAATAATGAACCATCGGGGCCAACACCAAGATTGGAATCGGGACCAGAAAAGTGCTTCATTAAAAGAGTCTCTGCTCCCGGGTGGAAGTCATAGACAAATATGAGCGCTGTGAAATGGAAACATTAAACACTTAATGGATGTTGCCAAGTGAAACTTCGAGATAATAACTGTTTATCATTTTGAAAAAGTTTCCGGAAAATCCATTTGGAAAGTATAAGATCATGGTACAAGACTTTTTGGGTCGTTCCCGCGGAAAATCTGCCGAAGCAGCGGAACAACTGAAAAGGTAGTCCTGTTTTGTGGACGGAATTTCCTAAACGGAAATCCGTGTTCCATTTCTTCAAAGCCATCTTTGATACCAGTTTCAGGCCATAGCGGCCGTTTTTCGGTAAATGGAACGGATTTGTGCAAATTGCAAACGCGACTCCGCGATGCAATTTACCATTCCTGATCATTTATTTTATGTCGATGCTAGTATTTTTTTTAAATAAATAGTATGTGTAAACGGTGGAATTAAAAATGTTGTGTTCTTTTGCAAGTATAATGACAACAGCCAAGGTTTTTTTTAACTGTCAAGGCTAGATTAGCTTGTTGGTCCAGATTTCGACGAATAGTTAGGAATTTCTTTTCAAAGCGCAAGTCATCAGAAATATTACTTTGGTTAAACTGAAGAAGCACAGATCTAGAAATTACTAAACTTTGAAGGATAAAGGATGGTTTGGGAAAGATGAAATTCCCGTGGCTTAAAAAAAACAACATGTTTTTGAAGTGCAGAAATGGTGAGATGTCGTTCAATTAAATGATCAATATCCTGTTTTCTTGCTACAGCCATGTAGCATAATCATCTCGACCAAACTATCACTCTTCAAAACTCTTTATAAACATCCACTGGTTGCAAAACAACAACAACATAGCAAAAATGCATCTTGTTAGCGTACTTACAGTTGTCTCCAAATGCCTTTGTTGTAAAGACTTCTCGGAGACTAACAAGATTTGAATGACTGACTTTTTTCCACTGATCCACAAGGACCATGGATTTTGCATTTACAAGTCGAAAAGCTGAAAGAGAGGAAAAAAACCATTAAATCAATGCTTAAAAAGGTTGTCTGCTTCTGCAATTTATGTACAGTTGAGCATGAGTCTGAAACAAACTTGTTCAAAACAAATTGACTATGAGATCTTCAAGCAATAGGTGACCATTTCCGAGTTCCCCCAGGCCGCTGAATCAAAACGAGTTTAAGTGCTCAGCCTTTGATATGGAAATGATTTTTCATTCTCATGCAAATAAAACTCCTCAATATGAAAGTGAGGGTTTTTTGGAACTCAAAAGTGGCCCATTGTTTTAGTTTCTAGATGGCAATTCCTGATTTCCTAAAAATCAAAGATTCTGCTGTGGATAAATGTTTAGAAATCAGGTCGTGTTTGCCGTTCTGAGAAGTAAAAAAAAAATATCAACCATGCACATGTTGTTTATGACATTAAGAAAAAACAGATAATACAAAGTCATAATGAACTGGTTAATTAAAATATTTAAGTCACACAGGGAACCAGTTTATGAAAGTTTTAGCAGTTGTGGAACCGCCTGTCTTTACTGCATTTAATGCTGTACGAGTTTCTTGTCAATATACTTACAGTGAATTCTTCGAAGGACATAAGTAAGCCCATCTTTAGAATTTGTGGCTTTGTAACAAGTTGTCATGTAACCAAATGTCCTCTGGGCCTTTACCAAAAAAGGAAGAAAAACATTTACAACCTGGCCCGCGTTGTTCAAAAGATGGATAGGGCTATCCACCGGATAAATCACTATCCACCGGATAGTATGTGGGAAACCAATAATTGCGCTATCCACTGGATAGAGATTTATCCGGTTGATAATGTTATCCAACTTTTGAACAACCAGGGCCAGTACGATAACTCTCTGAGTACTGGTCAGTGCTCCAAACTGCAACCATTTTGGTCGCCAAAGCAAGGAGAAAAATATTTTGGTGACTAAAATTACTGTGAACGATACCAATTTGGCAAACTGGTTTTTGGCAGTCAAGAGCCAAGCTGTATTTTTTATTAGTTGCATTCATGGTCTTTGTTTACACTACAGTGAGGTAATCATTCGCATCATATATTATTTATGTTCTATTTTCTTTATAATAGTTATTTGTCTCTTTTTCCCCAGTTGTCAGGGTTAAAAGCTTTTGAGATGCCACTGCATGTACCATCAAATTTCATTGTGATTATTAAGTGACCATTTTCATTATTTCAAAGCCTCCATGTAATATTGCACAAAGTGTCCCTCTCTTTTTTTCTGGCCAGCGATTTTTTATGTTTGGCAACCAATCTATGCATTCAAGTTGCAAAAAGGTTTCTTAGAAAAAAAATTGAGCTCGGAGCAACATAAGGAATAAATAAACAAAAACAAGGTTACAAAGTAGTTCAACGACAAAATGGCACTCACTACCAACAGTTCACCTCAAGAAACAAACGTTACAAATCTTCCAACAGCCTTACAGACAACTTCATTAGGATCAGAAACAAGGAACCTAACATAATGTTACACTGGTTGTTTACTTTTAAAAATAATTTAGAAATTAAACACTCATTGATTAGGTAGCTCTTACAAATTTGCACTCTAAGTTTTACTCTTGTGATCCATGGAGCATGTACATGTATGAACAAGAACTTTGTGAGTCAGAATCCAACAAGAGCCAGATATGAGCTTGTGCGGGAGCGGCCAAGGCACCTTTCTTAAGTGATAAGTAACAAAACAGCTTTTAATTTTGTTATATGACTTAAGATACTACTAAAGCAAAACAAAAATGTGAACTGTAATATCTTGATGCAGGAAAGGAAGTACAAGTCTTGACTGGAAGATGTAGCCCAACACTGATTAACTAAAAATAACGTTTTTAATTCTTCCAAAAAATAAAGGTAACAGCTGTACTTTTAGTGGTTAAAGTGTTTTTTCAGGTATGGACTTATTAATTAGCACAATAAGTAACAAACCTGGTCTGTTGGAGTGTCCAAGGGCTCTATAGGGCACAAAGTATGATAGCTATCTACTTCCTGTGGAACACCTTTTAATGAAAGTAACTCAATATCAGCACACAATTTACGAGAAAAATTTAACCTTTCGGTCATAGACATACAGTGTACTTATGTGTCTGCCACTGTCAGAACTGTCATTAAGAGGCAGGGGCCAGGGATTTCCCCTGGCTGCTATGATAGTGGCCCCCGGCAACTTTTATTGGAAAACAGAAGAAAAATAAAACCAAAAAAAAATCCCTAGCTGTTTTAACCCCCCACCTAGTTGTTGTGTTTAACCGGCAACTTGAAATCTTAGTGGCATCAATGCACTCTTCAAAAAAAAAATCATTATCATCGTCAAAAACATCATCATCATCATCATCATCATCATCATCATCATCATCAACGTCATCATAACCACCACCACCACCACCGCTACCACTGTCATCATCACCATCATCCACCATCCTAATCATCATTGTCATCATTTTCTTCTCCTTCTTCTTTAAATGGTGATCTCATTTCCTTTCGAGGTGACTCCTCTTCATGAATATCATACACATTGTAGCATTATTGTTAAAAATGTAAAGTAGATATTAACTTACTTTGATCATCTGGGTCAAGCTGTGCCATGCTTAGGGTATGCTGATGAATCAGTTCCTGAAATCAGGACACACAATCTTGTTAATGTTAATGTGCGAAATGCACTGGTGGTCAACTAGAAAGCTTTCGCGGCTTTGACCACCACACACATTTTAGAGTCTGTACCGTAATTATTATATTTTTGTAATCATCTATTGTAATAATATTATATTTTTCTTTCCATGTTATTCTCTGTAAAAAGTGTGAAATAAATGAACCACTGAGCCATTACATCTACAAAATCTACAAGTGTTCACTTGAGGTAGGTTTTGCAATAATTGGTTTAAAATTTACTATTACTCCGATCTATGAGCCATTAACTCCAAGACAACAATCATAAAAGGTCAAACCTAACCTGCCTTATCTGACCAGACATGGAAAATGCATTGTTTCTTGATTGGCTGCTTTGGAGATGTGCAAGATGAGCCGGTTCTGATACATATGCTTGGTATGATGGAAATAGCTGAAAAAAAGTCAAAACATTCAGAAAAATGACAATTAATAATAATGGTCCATTTTTTCATTAACTTGCTTTCATGCATGGATCACACCTTATTTTCCTCAAGTCTAAAACTGGGAAGGAAGATTTAATACCCATGCTAGATGTATCCATTATAGCTTGCTACTACTAACTTGTTCACTGGTGTAAAAAAGACATTTTTTTGTACAAAAGCCCTTTGGAAAGATGGAGAGTGAAACTAACAATGTTCTACATTGTAACTCATAAACTTGGCAGTCAACTCTATTGTAGCCAGCACTTAAATTTGAGGTTTTTTGCTTAAGCAATGGTGATAGCGATGGCAGTGAGAACGGAAAAAGAAAACAATAGGTTTAGCTTGGCAAAACAACAACTCTGCATGTGAGTCATGCTTTTTTGTATATGTTACAGGATGTGAACACAAGACAATGACTTTCTTCTACTTTTTATGAACTTTGAAACAGTCTTTTAGAATTCAACAACAGAAAAATTTCAACATTTCACAAACTGAATGAGACGGAATAATCGCACAACACATTGAAGCAGTGCAAGTAACATTTTCGTAGCTGTCAACATGGTTATTGTTTAAGCTCCCTAATAACTCTAAAACAGGAATAAAGAATTGTTACCACAGCAGGCTGCTGTTGAGCTTGCTGAGTGTAAAAATATGTTGTTCCTCCTATGGATTCCATCTGCTGAGGGCCCGGGGCCTGGGCTTGACTATGGAGGGGGGCCTGAGGCAGGCTCTGGTTCTAAAGTAAAATACAGGTAAACAACACATTGAGGTGTTACAGCAAGCATTTGAAATAATATTATAATATTAGTTAATTAATATTAATAATAATTTTTTAACTACTTATGCACACCCTCAGAATTACAGCCTTCAGATAGACTTTGCAGTCTCAACAGTTATTTGAATATCATCGATGAGTGTTTGAAATACATTACTTTTCAGTAAAAGGCAGCTGCTGATAGTGGAATAGGAAGATCTATATGTGTAGCAAAATGGGCTCACATAAAAAACAGAGCTACAAGAAATGAAAACTGAACAGGATCACCAACTCCACAAATTTAAATGTACTCACAGCAGCAGAAGGCAGAAATTCAAATGCTTGTGAAGTTAGTGGGTTGTGCTGTGGTTTGGGTGAACCAAGAGATGGTTTAGGAGAATGAAGTGGTGAGACTGGCCCTCCTGGGGCTAATGATGATGTGAATGCCCTCTTAGACGGAGACATAGGCGACCCGTGTCCTCCAAGAGACCCAGGAGCTATCTGTAATGAGAAATAAAAAATCATTTCCTTCTGCATAGATATACAATAATTATTATTATTCAGTGTACAAGTACCCGTATATCACTCACTTTAAGTGAGTTATATTGTATCACAATGTTCAGCTATGGCATTTGGATCTGTGGGTATGAATTCCTAGACACATCTATTCAAGACATATAGCCTGCAGATGCAGATGTATTTCCGATCGTTGCTTCTCTCCACCCGAACGGTACTTTTCTGGTGGCACAAATTAAAGCGGTGACAGGAAATACATCTGCGTTCACAGGCTACTAAACAAATTACTCAAGACCACCGTACTGATCCATGTTTTCTGTTATAATTCCAGGAGCACATGCAACAACAGAGACTTGTATCTGTGTCATTATCTTTTAATCCCACAGTGGAAATTTCTTTGTGACATATACATGAACTTAACAGATGACTCAGAAGTTATTATTTCTGAGGTCAATTTAATAAAACTTTTACGAGTGTAATCTACAAGTGTGGCTATTTTCTCTAGACTATAAAACAATAGCTACACTTGTAAATTACATTTTTTACACTTGTAAAAGTTTTGATAAATTAGTCCCTGGTGCTTAACTTTTCTGTAACAGCTTGTCACTTTCTGGATCTAAAAATATTTCTTCAAATCTTCAAACTACAGACAACTTGATTGAACACGCTTGTATCAAAACAACTTGAATTGAAATGACTTTGTATCGAAAATATCGTAAACCCTCATAAAGACCACCGGTAAGGGGTTATCATGTTGCCATCAATAATTTTTGTAGCAACATGGTCATTGGCGATTGGTGCATTTTAAACATAATAAAGACCTGCAGTAATTAAAGCATTCAAAACATTGCTACCAAGAATGAAAAAACTATTGCAGGACAAAATCATTTAATCATTTTAACATTTAACGATAAAGAAGCCCTATCATACACAAACCAGGATGAATGATATTTTTCATTATGCTGAATTGAGTTGTTACAAAATGTTTAATAGGTACCTTATTTGTTGATATTGACAACTGTCCCATTCCGCTAACAAAGCTATCATTTGTTGTTGTTCCCAAGGCATTGCTCTTGAATCCTCCATCACCTCGCAAGCCCTTTGAACTAAGATGGCCATTGTTGACAGCAGAATTAAATGCTGGCAGTGATGAGCTTCTATGAAATGAGCTTGCATTATTGCTTCCAACATTAAAGTTCTTGTCTGTAGCTGTAATTGTGTTAAATAAGCAAGAGTACATGGTGTATGTACAGCTGTATATTTTGTGGTTCAAACATTACATTTGTACTTATGCTTGAAATTTGCGCAACACTTTTTTTCACTTTGTGTTCCACTCATTGTAGACAAAGGAAAATGATAACAAAGCATTGTTTAAAAAAAAATTCTAAACAAAGGAAAATAAAAACATGGCCAATGTGCTTAATCAAGGAATGGCATAACATTAGCAGTCACATAGTATTGATGTTGGCCAATTGCAACTAAATGAAAACTAACATGGTCTCTACTATGGCCCTCTGGAAAATACCTTGAGAGAGTAAACGAACAATGCTAAGCATTAGGGAGTTTGCAATTAACCCTCTAAGCCCCAACACATCTTCTCCACATGTTATGTTCTTCATACATTCCTTATGGTACTGCTTGGGAGAATTTGTTCTAACATCACAACAGTTCATCACCAGTGATCACTTCATTTATTCTCATCACCTGTCTGTTTGATCATACAGTGTTATTGCTGGGAGAAATTGCATTTGAATCACTATTGGGGCTTAAAGGGTTAAGATGTAAAATTCATCAGTACACCAAAAAAATTAATTTACAATACAACTGGTACATGTATTTCAAGATTTATGGGTTTTCGCAACACAGGCATAACATGTAAACGGGGTTTTATTCAAGTCAGCTGGATTGAGATTGAAGAAGATCTCAGCTCAGCTTATACTATAATACAGCAGGCTTGCAGCTTACGTTAATAACAGATTGTCACTGGAAAACACATCTACAGTTCTGTATGAATGCATGCTACCAATGGATTTTATTCATTGTGCATTAAGTTTAAATAAAATGCAAATCCTTTCATTGCCTCTTTTCGAAATAATGACAATTAAAAGAACACTGTCAACGGTTATTTGTTTTACTTTAAAGGAGAGAAGCACCCGAGGAAACAAAAAAAACAGAAGGAGAGAACTGCAAATTCAATTCACTCTGTAATAAACATTACAGATCTGGACGCATCACCAACGAATACACACAAAATAAAATGATACATCTAGATCCATTTTTCTACACGAAGCAGCCTGGATTAAATAAACAAGCCAACTAAAAAGGATGTACAAGTATCTCGCAGTGGCCTTACATTTAAAAAAGCAATGTAACGTTTTAAAAAAGTTAGAACTGAAGCCCAATCACGAGCTCTAACCAGCTAGGATGATATTTAGCCGACTGGTTTTAAAGACCAAACAGACACCTGGCGTACATAGGGAACTTAAAGGAAATTATGTTGTGCAGCGATCAGGGGAAAGCATGCAAAAGAGGGAATTTGTTTTAAATGAAATATAGGGAGACAATAAACAAACGTTTTTCGTATTTCCATACCAGTACGAACGTCGTTCGAAGGAGGCTTCGCATGGACAAACTGACACTGATCGCCATAAAAGCAGTATCCATTCGTATTGTAATAACGACATAACATAGGCCTGGAGGGTCTGTAACTAGTCGCCGAGTTGGAATGATTCATCACGGAAAGATCGATGTTTTCTCGTTGCTAAAACATGGTAAATAAACGACCTTCGCAAGTTCCCGCCGCCATTAGAACTGTCTTGCGTTACCCTTCAAAATTTGTGCGCACGCATCTTGTATGTAGAACGTTTTTCGTCCCCAGAGCCCGTCCGTAGTCTCCTCGGAAGTCCACCGGGCCGGGGAGACCGTACTCATCTAGGCAATTAGCGAAAAAATGATGACTTTCGTTAGGGACCCCTCTGTGCAGGAAATTATAAAGCAAAAACTTCATAGTGCATTTGCTACACTTTGATGAGTTACGAACAAGAGCGCAACATAATGTCTCAGGGGGGCCCTATCGATAGCTTGTTAAGAATAATCCTCTCTCTGTTCTCTGAGTAGCGGTACAAACTCCCTCATTTGGCCTTAACACGTATGTGCCGCTGAACACGGTACGTTTTCCAGGGTTTTGAGTCTTAAATAGGATGCACAATTTCACTCTTTAGCTTCTTGAACGAAACTTTTCTTACATTTCCTCACAAAACATGGCGAACCGTTATCATGAGAAACAAATAGTTGGATCGGCAAGAAGAGTGACCCGCCTAGCTGAGCGACTCTTTTTTAGTAGTAGGGTCTCCCTCATAGCCGGGCCGACTTCTCTCCATTGCCCAGCCTGAGTTAGCCTGCGAACAGCATACGCATTTCCGGTCGTCCCTTCTCTCCCACCGAAAAACGGCTATTTTCGGAGGGAGAGAAGCGACGACCGGAAATGTATCTGCTGTTCGCGGGCTGAGCCTGAGTCACCTAGGGCCTTACCTCCTCGGTCAAAGGGAGACAATCATAGCATGAGCGAGTGCTATTGTCAGCGGCTGCTTAGCGGGAACAACTTAACGATCTCTAAAGTTGACAGGGCTGGGAGGGTGACCCTCCCTCTCGGGATAACTTTTCTCCATATAAAAGGGGCCCAGTTTCCAAGTTTTAGCCTGTAGGTTCTCAATCCAAAAGTACAGACACTTGTGGTAGATAATTATGTGGTACTAAGTCTTGCTCATTGCTCACACATCCCCTCTTCAACATAAATCAAAATACATAATTGACTTTCTGTTCAACTTTATTATATTTTATTTAGTAAAATACATATTTCACTTTGTGGCACTCACTAATTTATTTCTAAACTAGTTTCTTACTTTTCTTGTTTTTTTGTTTGTTTTTTGTTTTTTTACGAGGTAACAGTTATTTTAAACAAATGATGAAAACAATGCAAAAAGATTAATGCTCCGGTTATTCAAACCAGAATCTTAGACTTAGCCGCAGTCTAACCTACACGAGTATTTTGACGGTGTTGACTAAAGCTGCGTCAGAATATATGGCGCAAAGGATTAGATATTATCTCCATTGTAAATTGTCCTGACTGGCTCACAACTAGAAAATAACGGGAGATTTTTCAGCACATCACAAAAAGGCGGCCTTGCAAAACCTACGTTAAGTAATCACGAACTAACTGCTATTACAGATACCAGCAGTTTTGCCATGGAAACAAAGCGTAAAGGTTAGTCTGTACAGGCGTTTTCACTCACGTGGCTAACATCAATACAAATTTCTTAGAGCAAAAGAAAGCTTTTACATAAGAAAACAGGATTGAGTTGGAACATGGCTCCCGTTTCATTGTTTTGGAACCCCGATATGGCGGCCGTGACGTCACGTGCAACGCTCTATTCTATTAACAGACTAACCTCGTTTGTACGCGTCTATAAACAAAGGGATTTTTTACTGCTGGCTCAATTGTAATAACAGCGACTATTGGAGACTATCGCCAACCTGACAGGCCAGCGGATACAAATTTTACGTAAATAAATCAGCAACCGCAAATATAAATCTTCTTGTTCTTCTTCTTCTTCTAAAATATATATTCTCAAACTATATGATAGCTTGACAAAACATCCGAAATTTCGAGACGCCACCACTGGGTTCCGAACAAAATGACGACAATCTTTGGTGGCGTCGCGTCCCTGTTTGCTCAGACTACTTTCTCTGCTGTGAACGGGAACTTTAACTTGTTTGTTTTTAACGTCTTTGAGGTATGTTACAGCGCTTTACTCTCATCGTAGGTTACATTTCTTAATTCTAGTATATATAACGACAAATCATTTCAGAAAAAAGATAACATAAAAAAATTGAATATCATGGACCAACTTCCTTCCTGAACCAAAGTGAAATAATTCAACCTACAAAATCTATTTCAAAAATGTTAGAAAAAACTATCTACCTCAAAATTAACAACCCAAACGAAGAATTCATTGTCTTCTCTCTTATTCCAAAGGAGGGGCAATCTACTTCCTTTCCAACTCTAAAAAATGACACCTAGATATTCTCTTTTTCGTCAACGAAAAACGGGAATGTCGTGATTTACCTAGAAAAAACTCCACATTTCCTAAGATACAGTTTCTTCACCAAATGTACACTTAAAAAGACTAAGCTTGCAATTTCCGCAAATGAACTATTGTCTTCAACAATTTATATTTCAGATTCATTTCTCACGTCTTAATTTTGTTCTATACTTAAAACTGAAATCTACACAATCAAGCTAGACGTCCTCGCCGAAAAAGGTTATTTTCTTTGGTTCCACTGGGTTGGAGCTGGACCGAGAGCGTTTTCTGTATACTCTGTTAAAGAAGCCATCTGATTGGCTGTCGGATGAGTCATTTGGAGCAGTCGTGTTCAGCATCGTGTAACCGGTGAATGGATTCCTGGAGCCCAGGTCTCCATCATATGGATCAGGCTTTTTGTACCTTTGAGTAAAGAAAGAGATAAAAGGATGTAGTCAGTGTACTTTGCAAGCGTCTAGGTTATCGATTTCTCGACNCTGTCGGATGAGTCATTTGGAGCAGTCGTGTTCAGCATCGTGTAACCGGTGAATGGATTCCTGGAGCCCAGGTCTCCATCATATGGATCAGGCTTTTTGTACCTTTGAGTAAAGAAAGAGATAAAAGGATGTAGTCAGTGTACTTTGCAAGCGTCTAGGTTATCGATTTCTCGACCTATGTTGGTAAAATCACCTTGCCGGTCGCATAGAGCTCATTAATTTGCACGGGTTGTTTGTATCCCATCCCAGATCATGATATTTCTGACAGTGCAGTATAACGGCACAGACAGAAATAGCTGTTTTGCTGGTGTTCTTGCAGTGATATGGGCATCCCCTTTTCATATTACCTTGACGATATGGGTTGGGGTTAGGGTTACAGGGGATGCCCATATCACTAGGTTTTTGGGAACGGGGATGCCAAAGACGCGGGGATAACCATGCATATTACTGTCACACCGGCCGGACCAAAGGACTGGGCGGCAGCTTGGATAGACTGTGCTAGCATAATTGTTTTTGGCATAATTCGTCATCACGAGCATAATTTTAACCTATTTTTTAAAAAGCACTGCTAACATAACTTGCACTTTTGGCTAGTTTTGCAGCACAAAATTGTGATGTATTGATCATACAACCAATGTTTTTGGCCCGAGATCAGTGTTACAGGTAAGTTTAAGTAACAAAATCAATCTTTTGCAAGCTTATTGTCACATTCACGGGACCTTGCTCCCACAGAAAATGACCCCGGACTCTTTCCAAAAGGACTCAACGCATGCGCACGACCAGTTCGGTTACTCAAGATGACGTCCGCGAGCTGGTTGTTAATTATTTGAGTTTTTATAGTTGCCAGACAATGACAAAGTTTGTAGATGAGAATAGGGTAAAAGCGTTTTCAATTTACTTGTATGTTTCATAGTCATGGAGGTGTTTTTACCTGCATTTTTTTTTACACTGGATCGTACGCGAGAAAGAATCTCTGCCATCTAGGGAAGATCATGCGACGTCCTCGGGGGAATTAACCAAAAACTCGTGACATAGCTCCTTTAATTGAACACCCTCGCGCGGGATCCTAAATAATTTCCTTTGCTTTACGCGCCCAACAAAGGAAACAGGAGGGGACGTCTATAGGCAGGTTAATAAGGAAAGTGGTGAAAACTACTATACAAGCTCAGGACACACCATAAATGTAAGATGTTAATGCCTCTGCTCATAACCCCCAACCTCCCTTCCTTTACAGCCACCCCACCCCATCCCCCCTAATGAGAGGTTTAAATGTACTAAAATTCTCTACTGTGCGTAAGCTCTCCATTTTGGGGAGTCGCGAGAAGTCGTGCGAGAGCTTTACGCCAAAGGAGAGGCGAGTGCGAGGGGCGAGGAGCTTGCAACGATCTTTTAAAAATTCCTCCACTTCCTGCGGCTCGCTCGCGCACTTTCGTGGCCCGCCTCGCCCACCATAATTGAAGAGCTTGCTCGCAGGGTAATAATTCTAAAGAACAACACTTTGGCACTTTAACTTACAGTTTAAGCATGAGTGACGAAGTAACAACGGACACAGAGGAGGCGGCCATTGCAATACTAGCCATCCACGGCTTCATCACCACGCCGAAAGGCTCAAACGCTCCAGCTGCCAGTGGAATGCCAATCATGTTGTAGATTAGAGCGAACAAGAAGTTGATGTAAATTCTTCGGACTGTTACTCGAGAAAGGTCAATTGCCACGGCCACGTCCATAAGATCACTCTAAGAACAAACAAGTACGATATCAATGTCGAAAGAGGATATATATGTTGCATATAGTCAACTCTCTCTAAGACGGCCACTTTTAGGGCCAGCACTAGATGTCCGTCTAATACAGAGTCAAATAAAGGGAGTAAAGAAAGGCATGGACCAACTCTAGGTGTCCGTTTTACAGAGGTGTCTGGTAAGACAGAGTTGACTGTATATAATCTTCGAGAAAGGTTGTCGGAAAAAGTGCACGCGACAATCTCGAAAGGTATTGTGGGTGGTTTTGAGTTCATTGTTCTTCAAAGAAATTTCAAAGAATGGCACGAGAGGCCATGGATGTGTGTTTGCGAGTGCTAAAGGAAAGCAACAAAAGTAGGTTCGACAGCTACAGTGCTGCCAGGAACAGTGTATCGATCATATCCCATATTACCTTTCGGTATTGTCACGTGCACATTTTTTCCGATAACCTTTCTCGAAATAGCTGTATATATAGTTTTTCCTCAAAGGACAGACACTTGTATGTGGTTTTCTTTATTTTAGAACACTTGCAGCTGAACGAGCTTATGCCCGACCTTTCCTTTACTTATACTTGATATGATAAACAGTACAGTTCGTTTTATGTATGGATGTTAGTCCACCCACTTCTAGTTCCAACTGGTTTTAAAAAGGTCCCGGGAACTGTTAATACACTTTAGCCGCGGACTATCGATCTGAATGTATTCTATTCTACTGCTTAGAACAAACGAAATAAATCATGTGAAAAGTGCGATGAAGATATGAAAGTTGAAGTGATCATCTCAGTGAAATGAACAACCTAGCGGTTGAAAAAGAACCTGAAGAACAAAAAAAAAAAATGAAGCTTGACCGGGAATTGAAGCCTTGTCTTTGCGGATGCGGACATAACGCTCTAAACCAAATGAGCCATTCAAACCAATTGGAGAGAGGGCAGGCCAATCCACCGTACCTAAAAAGATGGCGACTGGTACATTTACCCACAGTTCTTAGCGCATGAAAACCATAAAATTGCTCATAAAAACGTACAGAAAAGTTTTATAAACTTCAAACCTAGGATAGGCAATGTTGCTATTACAGGGACGAATTTCGCCCCCCCCCCCCCCCCCCCCAAAAAAAAAAAAAAAAAAAAAATGACTTTATGTGTAATTGACCGTGTTAGGTTCGAAAGGAATTGTGGTAAAATGTACAGCCGCCATCTTTTTCCGTATAGCGGATTGTGAGTCCGAATAAGCCCCATGGTGGAAACGAGAAAATTAATGAAAGAATGAAAGATCGTAAATTTTCAGCTCGGTGAAACAAATGTGAAAATGAATTAATCAGCATGTCACGAGCGTGGGACAAAGATGAACGAAAATGTTTGATCTATTAGCCGAGGCTTAAGAAAAAAAATCTTCTTATTTATAAGGACAAAGAAGAAGTTGATCACTATCTTACCTTGATTAACACGACATCAGCAGCCTCTACAGCCACATCTGTTCCGGTACCGATAGCAATTCCCACGTGAGCTTGAGCCAGCGCTGGTGAGTCATTCACTCCATCTCCAACCATAGCAACAATAAAACCTCGGTCTTGAAGGGCACGAACCTTTTCTACTTTGTGTGAGGGAAGAACCTGGGCGAAAACTTGCTGTATGCCAACCTGAGGGTAGGAAACAGATCGGGTGAGACGTACTAGCCACAGGGTACCCACGAGAGTAGAGCTTAGTTTAATAAAAAAGTATTATTGTTTCAGGCATTCTATTATGGCGCCATGAAGAGGCTACTTCGACCCAGAAATAACCACTTCTGGGGGTGACACGCCTCACGCACTTCGAATTCCTTGCTCAACTAAGATCTCTAGAGCACAGTTTCTGCATCATTTCTACGACCAATAAGAAATGCTTGTAAACCAAAGATTTACTTCACAGTTTTCAGGATGAGGGCCATTAAAGGGGCTACGTTACGAGGATATTGCTGTGCTAAAGTCATTGCTTAGTTCCTGGAGTTGTGAAGACGATAACAAACAAATTTCATCAGGGAGAACTAACCATAATACTTTTTTGGTTATTTTTAAAGGCATAGCTGTGAAACTTTAAAAGGTTTGCACAACTTTTTCAAGTTTCAATCGGTATCTATCCTCATCACCCGTTGCAACAGACGACAAGAAACAGTTGCAGTGCCTATAAATAGTCTTCAATAACAAAACTGGACCATTATTTTAGGAATTTAACTGACGCGAAATAGCGTGACAGAGCCTTTGGCAGGATTAGTCTTCTACATACACCCGTTCTAAAACGGCTGTGTAGCAGACTATTGTAACTACTCAGGTCGTTTAGTTCTTTTTGCTATTCTGAGTAGCTTTTTTTTGCCTGATCTATTTTAATTTATGCTGATCTTTGTAGACGTTTTTTAAGTTGGCAAAATAAAATTGTTGCTTCTTACTATCAGCAGGATATGCATATTCCATGGCTGCTGAATGGGGTTCATTTGAATAGTTACACGGTAACACCTTGTCCACACACTAAAAAGGTTAAGGCTGTATTTTATGTACACCAGTCTAAGTTACCTGTTTGGCGATAGCAAAAGCAGTCTTCTTGTTATCGCCTGTAAGCAACACAACCCTAATTCCCATCCTCTTGAGAGTAGCTACTGTAGCTTGCGCCTCGTGTTTAACTGTGTCTGCTACAGCCATCATAGCCACAAGTGACCCTACGGGAACAAGCATCACTACGTTATACAGAGTTCACTCCCTTAGCTAAAAACACTGAGAAGAAGTTATGCTCTGCAGCTAATATTTAAAAAAGTTCCAGAGAAAAACTTGATTCACAGTCTCAGAATTGAAAACGTCAGCACTAACTTGTAAAGCATAATAACAAAAATAATTTTAATAACTTTTGTTTGAATGGCTGCACTGTAGGATCTTAGGGCCTGTTTACATGGAGGGGGGCTACCCACCTATCACGCAAACGTGATCAAATTGAATGAGTCAATATATGGACAGGCAAGTTACCCCACCTAGGCGTGTTACCTCACCGACATGGGGTCCCTCACCTCCATGTAAACAGGCCCTAAGTCCTACCCTTAAAAAAAAAACAGAACCACTTTATTCAGCGCACGCGCAAGAAACATTGCTAAAGGATTGAAAGCTCTTCTTAGTAGCTGCTTTTATTTGAATGATGAGAATAAAGCCATTTGGAAAAGCTAGAATCATCTCGTAACACGGAATGAAAACAAAAAACAGTACCACAGAAAACTACTTGCTCAGCAGTCATCCAGGGTTGATGTTAACCGATGTTCAGTTCCTAGAAAACATGCACTTTGACGTCATCATTTAAAAACCAGAATTGAGGTGCACTTGTGAGAACATCAAAGAAACGACGCCAGGATACTAAGTATCCGGTTCAAGCGTCACTTTCGCCGCAGCGCACGTATTTATCTGCTGTGTTCACTACTTACCGTTAATGCCCACCAGTACAGCGGTATGTCCTTTTTCTTCATGCTCTTGCATGGCTTCTTCCATCTCGTCAGTGACTTCCAAGCCATTCTGTTGCATCCAATCTCTATTGCCGATAACCACATGGTAACTCAATGGTTCGGCTTCTTCAACTTGCTCCTTTAATAAACTTTCAGCTGCAAAATGAAGGTTCATTTAATACATTTAATTAATTTCGATAAAAATTCAGGAGAAAAAAGATTCCGTCTTTACAAACTTGCGGATAAGCGTGACAGAAGACGCAACATAAAAACACCCTGTAACGGAATCAGCAGCGTAATAAATAGTACCACGGTAAATTTCAGCTAAACATAAGTGAGTTCATTTCTGTGGTCAAAATGGTATGTTTTTTACAAGTTCAAAAGTTAGAAATGCACTGTATGCACGCTTGTTAGAAATACACAAACAAACAATGACGACAAACAGGGGAGGTTAAAGTCAGCTTGAAGGTTTAATCTCGGTATACTTTTCTCCCCGATCGTGCTTGCACAGGGAACCCACACAAATAGTGTGTTGTAATGTTTGAATTTAGAGGAAATGCATGGGAATATCGAAAAGGTTCCCATTATCGTGATAAATGCGATGAATCTTATATATAAGATCAAAATAAACATATTTTTACCTGAAATGTTGTGTATTGTCGTTCTTGCAGCTGAAAGCAACGAATTATAGCGATTTTAAGGGTTTTACATTCGAATATACGCTCAGGTAAAGGTCGAATGTAAAACCCCTTCAAATCGCTATAATTTGTCGTTTTCTGTTGCAAGAACGACAATACACAACATTTCAGGTAAAAAGATGTTCATTTTAATCTTATATATAACAATTCATAGATCACGATAATATGAAACTTTTCAATATTCCCATAGATTTCCTCTAAATTCAAATATTACAACAGTTACACCATTTGTGTGGGTCTCTTGTGGTGTTGGCGCTAGTGCAGCGGACAACATTCTTTATATCCGGCAGTGATTTGTCACCTGATGTATTCGTCCGATCATAGATTGGGAGGCCGGATCCCCTGTTTCATAAAGAAAAGTCAAAGGAATTTTCTTTGTGTTTCAGGGCAAAATGATCTATGGGTTACGCTTTGTTTTAACAATTTGACCACAAAGGAGGGCTATTTTTGGAGGGTTTCGCAACTTTTTGTAGTGGGAAGGATACGTTTTTTCTGCAAGTTTTTTATGGGAAGGAAAAACCTGGATGACAAGTTTCATGGTAAACATTGCAATGAATGTGGAAGGGGGGGGAGGGGGCGGATTTTGATTTAGGAGATTTTTTCGAATCTCGTGTTAGCCCCAGGGATATTGGGAAGATTTAACTGTTATTGTCCACCATCGATAACTTCTGCTGTGATCCTAGTTCTAAAATAACCTCACCATTGTCATTTCCACTAATTTCATCAATCACTGCTCCACAAATGTTGACTGACAGGTTTTTCTTGTTTTTGTCCGTAACAGGTTTAGGTTTGATTAACTCTTCTATACCGCTGACCTTGCAGGATAATCCGAACCCAGGAACAGCTTTGAACTCGGTACACTGACCCAATGTGTCAGTATGGAGCTCCTGTTAACAGGAAATACAGTTCATGAAGCTTTCGTAAGCAACCATCTCGAAAATTCGAAAAAGTGGTCGTAACTAGTTGTTTATGTGGTTCTAACATTTGAGTCTGTGAACAAGATCCTATAATGTTACCATTCATGTGAAAACTCTTTGGAAGTACCTTTGAATGGTACTGTTTGTTTCTCAGCATTTTAAACCCACCTGCTTTGCATAATTTGTAATGGCCAAACCAATAGGATGTTCACTGTGATTCTCAGCAGTGCCTGTTACAGCCAACAGCATTTCCAAGCTACACTGAGCCGGTTTCACAAACAAGGCCGTCTTCACAACTTCAGGAGATCCGTGGGTTAAGGTGCCAGTCTTGTCAAAGACTACAGCATTTACCTGAAAATGCGAAAGAGAGTGAAGCTTATTAAGTAAAATTAAAGCTCGAACAGCGACCCGTTATATTGGTTAACAGCAAATTAAACGGCGACCTATGGTTACTTAAGCTACGTGCAACGGACGCAACAACTCCCAACACTGTTGGGCCACAATGTTGAGAGTTTATGCGTCCGGGCTGGCAGTGGTGTGCTGACCGATGCAACAACTCGCAACAACGTTGGCCTATCACGGTGCATTTCATGATCAAACTTGTGATGAAACCATTTTATTACCTTGTGTGCAGTCTCCAATGGTTCACCTCCTTTGATTAAAATTCCATTCTGTGCTCCTATTCCAGTACCCACCATTACAGCTGTTGGAGTTGCCAGACCAAGAGCGCATGGGCAAGCAATAGCCAACACAGTGATACCAATCTGGAAGGCGAAGGCAAATACAAACTCGACTCTGTTATCATCTTTAGCCTGTGAAAATATATAACAAAAAAAATCGTATTAAGATGTGAATAATAATGATTACCATGGACTTTTTTCCGCGCTGTTAAAACCTAAAGCAATATGGCATTTCCATGAAAAAGTGCGTAGGAGTGTTCAACAATTTTACCACTTTTTGATGCACATCAAACGGATTACAAGAAATAAAGGTAGACTGGAAAGGAAAAAGGAAATGTTGCAGTTATTATTTTTTTTATTTCAGGTAATTTGTGTTTGTCCTTTATTTCAAATTCATAAGCATACATTACCATACCCAAACACAACGGAAAAATAAAAATTACGGGAAATAAAAAAAATAACTACAACAGAAACATTTCACTCAACCCCGAGTTAGCTTAGGCTAATCGCGGCGGGTTGAATTGGAGAAGAAAGAAATATAAGAAAAAAGAAGACGTAATAATAACTTTACGTAAAGGACAAAATTTGATATTTAAATTGATACCCTGCACGACCTACGTATTAGCTAAGTATAGGGAGATTTATCATATAAGTTACATCTATTTTGAAGAGCATATTTAAGGATGGCGCTCAATATAAAGTAAATATGGAGCCAGTAAAAAGGGCAATATACCCGAACGACAATAGCACGGAACAAAATTCAATATCACACAGTATTACCGTTTTTGACGACATCGCAATTACATAAATTGTTATACAATTTTACTTCTATACTTCTCGAATAAGCACTGCATTGGCGTTTAGGGCTGTGCGGTATTTGACAAAATAATTCTCCTTTTCTATAGAGCGCTTCCTCAAGCTCAGCGCTTGTTCAATACGATGTTTGATTATGATTTTTTTAACGAATCAGGGTAAACCCAAAGAGACATCGTGACTTGTGTCGCAGGCCACTTTCCCGCGCTTAAAACAGACTACATTTGCTTCGAGTTCTCATTGGCTCACTGGATTGTCCACGTCTGCTGTGCTTGGCTACAATAATATCACGTGACTTTTATGGTAAACCACTACATTTATACCAGCCGATACTCGAACACTTACATTGTAGGTTTTCCGGAGTAAGGTGATGTCATGAAAACCGATAATTAGCCATACCACCCAAGTTGTTATGGAGATGAAGATAACGGTGGGAACAAAATAACTTGACAACTTGTCAGCGAACTTCTGGATTGGTGCCTGAAAGAGATTTTACAACAAAGCAGAATGAATCAGGAGAATGAATGCCATTTTGAATCAGGAGCCATGAATGGCACTTGTTTTCAAATCCAATAGGATTTACTGATAGCATTTGGCATTTCGCCCGAATTTGTGATAAAGACTTGCTCCACAAGATTTTTGTATCATTACGTGGGATGAAACAAGAATTATACGCTAAAAGCTTTCAGGTACATGACATACGTGAAACCCTACCTCCCCACGTTGAAAACGCACGTCGTAAACCTCAAACGTGACGCGAAAGACTCGTCACGTGACCTCCAGCGGTTAGAAGTTCGCGGTAAACTCGGAACTAAAACTCTCTATTATAGCTTACGTGTAACCGCACCCTCCAAACAGTTTCCCTAATTTGGGGCGAGGGGGAGGACGAGGGGGGCGAGGGGGGAATGGGGATCGCGAAGGGGAAGAGGAGGAGCGAACGGTACCGCCACAAGAAAGTTTTACAACATCAGGAAAATACTACAATTTTCTTTTACCAATTGAGTTGAGAAATAAAATCGGCCATTTTAAAGAGATTCATTTCGAGCACTGGCCCTTTCGTTCAAGCCAGTCATAACAAAGAATAATAAAATCATCGTTCCCTTACCTTTGATGTTTGTGCCTCTTCCACCAGCTTGACAATCTGAGACAGAGTGGTGTCTTGACCCACGTGAGTTGCCTCCACCAATAACGAGCCATTCTGATTAATGGTTCCGCCTATCACAGAGTCCCCTGGTTTCTTCATGACAGGCATCGATTCGCCCGTAATCAGCGATTCGTCTGCGGTGGAAGTTCCTTGAAGTACTTTACAGTCAACAGGTATTTTACCTCCGGGGACAACCTAACGAAGGAAGAAGAGAGCCCTAAATGGTGAAAGCCGTTAAACCAACTGACGAATAGAATTAACGTAGAACTTTAATCGTACCATCGCGAAATGTCCATCATATCGCCAAAGGGACAATTTTCCTAGCGACTATAACAGCGATAAAAGGTTTTAAACCATTCTTAAAAATAGCACGACCTTCTAAGTCTAGCGTCACAATAATCTAATGGTGTGATTTACAAAAGAACAATCGTATTACAGGTTAATCGCAAGTAAGCAACAAAAATACACAATAACCGGTTCTCAGAGCCACTTAAAGAGGTCACACAACGTTCCTTTCTGGAGGGGGCATTGCGTGACGATCCAATCAACGGCTACGTTACTCTGTGTACCTTGAGCACGTCTCCACGCTGCACCAGGTCAACGTTGATCACTTGCTCGCTTATAACGTTCATTGTTCCTGGTTGCAATTTGACCAAGATAGCATCTGAAGGCTGTAACGACAAAAGCTTAGCCAGGGCTTCAGATGTCTTCCCTTTTGCTACATGTTCCATCCAGCGACCGAGAGAGATGAACACCAACAACATGGGTGGAGTGTCAAAGAAAGTCATGGGGCTGTGGTTGCTCTGTTCTGCCATGGCAACAGCTACAACAACAATCTGGAAGAAATGACAAAGATAGTTGTACATCTGACAGAAGGTTGGAACATGGCCTCTTGCAGAAAATAAAGACAAACAATGGTATCTAATCAGCGGCCTGCGTGGCAGCCCGGGGGGGAGGGGGGGGGACTCCTATATAAAAGTGACGGGGGTGCTCGTCGTCTCGCTTAGAGGTGTAAATTGCAGATTTTAGACTCAATTAGGGTGTTTGGGATGGAAAGTCACTATATCTGCCCATTCAGGTATCGTTAGTGCGACAAGTGTGACAATAATTTTGTTTTAAGTAATTTTTCGCCAAACGTCACTTCCCTTTAAACAGATCTTTTTGTAAAAGACCAGAAAACATTAGCATCACGACATAACACGCAAATAATAGCTCTGTCACGTTTGTAACGCACAAGTGTTTTAATGTCCTCTTCTTCCTGCCGTCCTGTTGCGTAAACTCACTAATATCAAACTCACCGAGTACACATAAGCTATTGAGGTGGCCAGCATAATAAGCACATCCATATTGGTGGACTTGTGTTTAAGAGCTTTATAAGCTGTCACATAAAAATGCTGTCCTCCAAAAACCTGAAAAATGAGATAAACTGTATAGTTAGGCACATGACAGAAAGCAGCAAAAACTGGAATTCTACATCCCAAAGTGACAAGAACACTCCACGAGCATGGGCAGCGTAAAGAGACGCGAGCGTAATGGCCTGACAGCAACAGAAATGCTGTAAAATCCTCAGCCCTAAGCCCTCCCCAACCTGCCAGTCCGTTAATAGCAAATAAAATACTGCTGGCTTGCATTGTCTCAAGTTCAACTTAGTTTAAATTTCGTTTAGCCACACATAAACTGGGCGATAAACGAATAGAAATAATATCCCTTCAAATGTTCTTTCTAAGTGTTAAAATATTCAGTACTAGTTGCTAATAGTATTAATTTCATTATTGCGGACCAGCTCATTAATGCGAAACCCCGACTTCTGTGCAGGGCCTGGAAATTGAACTTCTAAGGTTCCATCCCATGATGTAGCGTAATCCTAGACCCCTTCCACGGAGGGAATTTTTACCCCTTCAGATTTTCCATTTTGACAAGGAAACGTTAACCCCCCCACCCCTCTGGAATTTCCAATTCCCTCCGTGGTGGGGGTCTGGATATTTTCTGGAACTACACATTCCAGATTCACTGTCAGTGGAATTTGGATTCCAGATTAGCAGGATTCTGGATTCCTCGAGTTGAATTCCAGAATCCAATTCCAGGATTCCAGATTCCACAAGCAAAAATTTCCCAGATTCCAGAATCTGCTTTTACTTACATGGGGTGACTGGTTAGGGTGACTGGTTGCATAAAGAATTTTAAGATTAAGGGAACTTATTACTTATTTCTTAGTGACTGGGGAGCCCACGCTTCATAAGCCTTCTGGTTTCTTCTGGGCTTCCTTGCCAACTTACAATTCTTATATGTATTCTTGCATTGCAATTTACTTTGGCTAAATAAAACTGAACTGAACTCATAAGTACATGTATTGCTTTAAGCAATTGGTCTAACGTTTTGGCCCCAGTACTCTAAGAAAAACGTTTTAAAACCCTATGGCTATAAGATTGATAACTAGTAGGCTACGTAGGTGTGGGCGACAACGATTGTAGGTCAAAACGCTTTTGCTCCAAAGCTGTGCTCTGCATATGTTTTACGTGATAGATGGTCAAAATATGCGTGATCAGATTAAGAGTTATCGAAGGTCCAAACACGCATGATCAGATTGCGTTTTCTACATTCCATTCATTCTCAGTGGAAGTCCAAACAAAGCTAACGAAGCTGGCTACATACCTGCCATGCACGCGTAATAGCTACCTGGAGATTGGGATTGCGGGCTCCTAATACTTATGTAACTTTCTTTAACTCAAAAAAGGAAACTTTTTAAAGTTGTTACATAAGTGATACATACCTGAACCGGTGTACACAGGATAAACATCAGGAGATTCTCCAGGGACAGTCCAGGCAGTACAAGTTGGTTTGGCCTTTTTTCTAACTCATCCAAGATCACATAAGTTATGAATATAACAAATGTTGGTACTCCAAATATCAAGGAAAACAAAAATGATCTTCTCCATCTGAAAAGTAATATTAAGCAAATTTCTTAAGGCAAGTACTCCACTTTTTCCAAATTCCAAACAGCTGTCCCATGCCATGTTTTTCAAAGTATAATGTAGTTTGTAGAAGTAGCCTGTTTATAAGTTAAAGTAAATGAATAAATAAATAAGCATTTAGTGGTAGGTGACACCCACACGTGTAAGGCAAAAAAGTTTGTTTTTCACAACAAACTTTTGACAATTTTTTTTTACAAATTTAGTACCATTTCTTACTTCTTTATTTCCTTTGAGTGATCAATCCTATCTTTTTTGCTGTCATTGCTGTCCAAAGATGCTTCAAACCCCAAACTTTTGATAGCTTCTATGATATCACGTGGACCAGTTGTTTCTGTGTCATACACAAATCGACCACTGCTGGTTGCCAAGGAAACTGATGCTTCAAGTATGCCAGGTCTCTTTTTCATGTTTGATTCAATTGAATGAACACAAGACGAACATGTCATACCAGTTATCTGAAATGTGAATAAGAAAGTGGGACAACAATAAGAAAATCAATTATTACATTTGCAATGGTGACTCAACATAGCGACAGGGGATGAAACAGGACTTACACCCCAAATGATATAAGCCCCGTTGTTCCTCACCCAGCCCATGAAAGGTTGTACCACACCACCAGGGTCTATGCCCCCTACTCTTTAAGAACAGCAGTGTGGGTTTTTTTACATCCCAAAAGAATCAGCACAGTGGAAGAGCTGTGACACGCGACGTATGGTTTTTCGTCCTTATCTGAGAGGCTTAGAAAATCTAACGATTTGCAGATGTCACAACAAAGGTAGCGCATTCTCCCCAGTTATTTTTGAGACCCTGAGCATTGGACTGAGCGAATGAGTGAGTGAATTACTCATTACCATCAATTAACAATTAATTCAATAAAAGGGGGTAACATATGGCAGCTTTCCCTGATGACCCATCAGCCCCCTGAAACATTAACCTGAGAGGTGCCCATTAAGAGACATTCAACTGTATACTGTAAACTGTCACTTATAAGTCTGCCCAGTTATAGGCCCTCCATCTACCTGTGAACAAATTAATACATCCGATTATAAGCCCCCTCCAAATGTATTGAAATGAATTTGAATTATTATGGCGGTTTGACGCTAATTATTAAAAACCAGTCAATGCAAAACGTATTTTGATCAGCACTGCTACAGCTTGTTTCAAAGTGCTTTTTCCATTCCAGTTATAAGCCTCCTAGGGTGTAAACCCATCCGTCTGAAACAGGGTTGGCAGAAAGTTTTGAAGTAGACGGTTGAGTTGTCAAAGTAAGCGGCCAGTCCAGGGATATTTTATTTGAAAAAAACCATCCATAAAGAAATGCCAAGAAGAGTAGCCAGCCGATACTAACCAAGTGGGCCGTGATTTTCGCTACAAAGATGTATAAGCCCAGGTGTTTTAAGCAGCAGTTTACGGTATAGTTATTTTAGTTTAATTTAATTTTTTTGTGTTTTTACAAAGGTTAACAATCTAAGCTCGGCTGCCCCCATCAAGCAGCATCAACTAAAACCTGCACCCCTGAATTTATTAATTTATTATTATTATGATACTGGGCAACCGGGAGGAGCTCAGTGTGTTAATATCACATTTCACTAACACACACTGTCCTTTCCTGCAAAATTACTACACTCAGTTCATACAATAAAAGTACATGTACTTAACTCACAATTATATCGACGGTGGCTTCTCCTTG